ACGGCAGAAAGTTCGGAAACGCCTGCAGATAGCCATCAAGAGTGACAACTTAACTGATCTTCCCCCTGTATTTTTTATAATTCACTCATTAAAATATTTGTACTTGAAGGCGCTTATTGATATCCCAAAAGGTAACATAGAGTTTAGGGTGTTACTGAATCCTACTAGGGAAACAGATAAATCCGTATAATGTGCTAAATTTGCGCGTCGGACGACTTTAGCCAAGTTCGGACTGGGTGCGGAAACCCCAGTACTGAGTAAGGATTTACCGCACCCGGGTGCAGAAGTGTGCGGATATTGTGCGGAAACTTGTCTCATTTCCGCACTGGTTCCGCACCCGGGTGCAGAAATCTGCGGAAACTGTGCGGAAATATCCGCACCCGGGTGCAGATACTGCAGAAATTTCTGCACCGGTGTAATCTGGGAAGTTTCTTCACAGCTGAGAAAGCGTGCACATCTGGCAAGAGAAAAATAAAGTAGAACATGCGTTTCTTTACGACAGAATTTGAAAAATACCTCAGTCGCCGGGAACAATCTTTGTACCTGAGTCAAACACTAAAAATATCCTCAAGTTTTCATTGGTTTGAATATCAGGCTAGCCGTGGAACGCCATGAATGCGCCAGCATTCGGCCGAGAGGATTTGCATCTGGGGCGGAATTTTGTTTCTGATGAAGCTGACAATGGCGAAAGGATTTTAGCTGATATACCATGGTCGGAAAGATCGCGCAAAAATACACCTCAACCGAGAAACTCAACCAACAAACACAAACGACCGCAGTTTGATCATCTTGGGTGTTCCGGAACACAACGAAACGTCAGATAAAATAGCACATAATACACACGACTACATGCAGTGGCAAGTTCCATGCAGTACACTTGAAATGGAAAACGTGACCGTGGTTGATACTTATCGGATTCCGAAATTACCAAAGTATATTGGTACCGGCCCGAGGCCCCTGAAACTCACATTACTTCGTGGTGATATGCTAAGCTTAATCCAAACACAATGGTAACGTCACATGAACTTACTCCCTGGGGAGTTACGGATAAGCACATCCATGCGGAACAATATACCCACAGAAGAGATCAAGGTTAATGAAGCTGAAGCCGTAGGTGTAACTTCAAAAAACGACCAGCTGCCGACTCTGCCAGGGTCGGCACAGTTGTAACCGCCAAACACTGCTGTCAATAAACACCATT